CAAAATACTTACAGCATTCAATGAATGGTTAAATGCTAAAAATAAGGATTATAAAATGAGTGTATGTAAAGATGTGTGTGTGTGTACGTACGTACATACCTACATAGAATCATTGCACCTAAATCTACTGTAAAATGATCAATCAATGCCTAACAGTGGGAATTTCACAGCTAAGAGCTTTACTCCTTACTAGCATATACCTTGATCAGGGTAGTTTAGCACAAGAGACAAAACTAATCATAACAAGCATGGAACCTACATGTATTGATATTCCTGAGCAAAAAAGCTATGGCACTCCTAACAAGCATATAACTTGATCACAGTTGTGCAGAGCAAGGAAAAGCATGGATTACTAGAAGTATTGCCTAAAAATGACTGATCAGAGCTCAACAATAAGGACACTTCTGAAGAAAAGCTTCACCCTAAACTGGAAATTACTTTGATCACAGTTGCGTAGAGCAAGAGAAAATTGATCATTAGAAGCATTGTGTCTACATGTAATCTACAATGATCAGACAGGGCCAAACAGTAAACATTCCTCTACTGAAAGCTTCACTCGTAACTGCCATTTACCCTGATCACAGTGGTATTGAGCAAAGGAAAAAATACTAATCATAAGAAGCACTGCACATCAATTTACAGTAAAACCATCAATCAATACCCAACAGAAAGGATTCCATGGCAAAAAGCTTCACTCCTAACTGGCATATACCTTGATCACAGTAGTATACAGCAAGGGAAAACAACTAATCTTTAGAAGTATAGCACGTACATGTACCGAAAAATGATTAATTAATGCCTAACAGAAAGGATTCATCAGCAGAAAAGCTTTACTCCTGACTGGCATCTACCCTGATCACAGAAGAGTTGGGCAAGGGAAAAATTAATAATCAACAGCATTGCACCTACAGATAATGTTAAATGATCATGAATGAGCATGCAATCTTGCGCATACTCGTTAAGATCAGAAACTTTTAGGTTGTAGCTTACCAAAAATATCAAAGCTGGATCGACTTTCCCCTTCAGGAAACAAGCGACGCAAATTATG